CACCCGTCGGTACTCGTGGGGTAAGCGACCGGCCTGAGGCTAGGTTGGCTCGACCTGACAACTTCTCATGAGTCTGACGCGGAGTCGGCGGGGTCTTCTCGCGTACGCCTTCCTGGTCCACCGAGCTTGCCGGGCGACACCACTTCGGGCGCCACCAGTCAGCCAAGCTCGGCTGCTCCAGTGAGTCTTGACTCCCTCATGGCCAGAGTTAACGAGCAAGGGTATGAGCGCCGAGAAGAATTGACCTTCTTGGCGAGGCTCATGGCTTACGGATTCACTCGTTCCGTGGAGCCCTCGCTTAACCCAACACCGGCTGCATCTAGCGTGACAACGACTGCAATGCCGACCACGCCCAACCCGACACCGGCTGTATCGGTGACAACGACACCATTGCTGACCACGCCGAACCCGACGCCGGCATCTAGCTTGACAACGACTCCGAAACCTACCGCGCCCAGCCCGACACCGGCATCTAGCGTGACAACGACTCCGAAACCGCACTCACCCAACCCGACACCGGTGGCTAGTGTCACTACAACGCCGAGTCCAACCGCGCCCAACCCGGCACCGGCTGCATCTAGCTGCAATGCCGACCACGCCCAACCCGACACCGGCTACTTCGGTGACAACGACTTCAATGCCGACCACGCCGAACCCGACGCCGGCATCTAGCGTGACAACAACTCCGAAACCGCACTCGCCCAACCCAACACCGGCTGCATCTAGCGTGACAACGACTGCAATGCCGACCACGCCCAACCCGACACCGGCTACTTCGGTGACAACGACTTCAATGCCGACCACGCCGAACCCGACGCCGGCATTTAGCGTGACAACAACTCCGAAACCGCACTCGCCCAACCCAACACCGGCTGCATCTAGCGTGACAACGACTGCAATGCCGACCACGTTCAACCCGACACCGGCTACTTCGGTGACAACGACTTCAATGCCGACCACGCCGAACCCGACGCCGGCATCTAGCGTGACGACGACTCCGAAACCGCACTCGCCCAACCCGACACCGGTGGCTAGGGTGGCTTCAACGCCGAAACCTACCACGCCCAGCCCGACACCGGCTGTATCGGTGACAACGACACCATTGCTGACCACGCCGAACCCGACGCCGGCATCTAGCTTGACAACGACTCCGAAACCTACCGCGCCCAGCCCGACACCGGCATCTAGCGTGACAACGACTCCGAAACCGCATTCGCTAAACCCGACACCGGTGGCTAGTGTCATTACAACGCCGAATCCAACCGCGCTCATCCCAACTCCAGCTACATCGGCGATAACGACCCCAATGCCGACCACGCCGAACCCGACGCCGGCATCGAGCGTGACGATGACTCCGAAGACACCATCGCCCGACCCGACGCCGGCGGTTAGTGTGACCACAACGCCGAGACCTACCACGCCCAACCCGACGCCGGCTCCATCGGTGACAACGACTGCAATGCCGACCATGCCGAACCCGACGCCGGCATCGAGCGTGACAACGACTTTGAAGACACCATCGCCCAACCCGACGCCGGCGGCTAGTGTGTCTACAACGCTGAGACCTACCACGCCCAACCCGACGCCGGCATCGAGCGTGACAATGACTCCGAAGACACCATCGCCCAACCCGACGCCGGCGGCTAGTGTGACTACAACGCCGAGACCTACCACGCTCATCCCGACTCCAGCTACATCGGCGACAACGACCCCAATGCCAACCACGCCGAACCCGACGCCGGCATCGAGCGTGACGATGACTCCGATGACACCATCGCCCAACCCGACGCCGGCGGCTAGTGTGACAACCACGCTGAAGCCTACCACGCCCAACCCGACGCCGGCTGCATCGGTGACAACGACTGCAATGCCGACCACGCCGAACCCGACGCCGGCATCGAGCGTGACAACGACTCCGAAGACACCATCGCCCAATTCGACACCAGCGGCTAGTGTGACAACCACGCTGAAGCCTACCACACCGTGCCCGACACTGGCTGCATTGGTGACAACGACGCCAAAGCCTATCTTGCCCAACCCGACACCGGCGACTAGCGTCAGTTTAGCTTCGAAACCTGTGACAGGTAGCAGGGATAACTGGGGGGATCCTGTTCAACACTAAATACCTCTCGCGGTGTCATCCATTCGAGACCTCTGGCCTCCTCTGTAAGCTGCGAAGGAGCCCCTGTCCGTGATTTTAGATTCTTTAATCATTTCTATTTCTTTTTCACAAAATGCTACCTGGTAGTAGTAAGACACCATCGCCTAACCCGACGCCGGTGGCTAGGGTGACGGAAACGCCGAAACCTACTACGCTCAGCCGGACACCGGCTGTATCGGTGACAACGACACCATTGCCGACCACGCCGAACCCGACGCCGGCATCTAGCTTGACAACGACTCCGAAGACACCATCGCCCAATTCGACACCAGCGGCTAGTGTGACAACCACGCTGAAGCCTACCACACCGTGCCCGACACTGGCTGCATTGGTGACAACGACGCCAAAGCCTATCTTGCCCAACCCGACACCGGCGACTAGCGTCAGTTTAGCTTCGAAACCTGTGACAGGTAGCAGGGATAACTGGGGGGATCCTGTTCAACACTAAATACCTCTCGCGGTGTCATCCATTCGAGACCTCTGGCCTCCTCTG